AAAAAAAAAATTTCCCACATTCACTGCACTCATAAAGTCTTTCTCCTGCGTGAATTCTCTGATGCTGAAGGAGCCCAGAACTCTGGCTAAAGGATCTCCCACATTCACTGCACTCATAAGGCCTTTCATTAGTGTGAACTGTTTGGTGTCGAATGAGGTGAGTTTTGCAGTTAAAGGATTTCCCACAGTCACTGCACTCATAAGGCCTTGCTCCAGTGTGAACTGTGTGGTGTCAAAAAAGCAGGGTTTTGCAACTAAATGATTTCCCACATTTAGTGCACTCAAAAGGCCTTGGTCCAGTGTGAGCCTTTCTGTGTCAAAAGAGGCCAGAGCTTTGGCTAAAAGATTTGCTACACTCACAACACTCATAGGCCTTCCTCCAGTGTGAACTCTTTGGTGTTGAATGAGGACAGATTTCTGGCTGAATGATTTCCCACATTCACTACAGTCATAAAGCCTTTGTCCAGTATGAACTCTCTGGTGTTGAATGATGTAGGTTTTGCAACTAAATGATCTCCCACATTGACTGCACTTATATGGCCTTGCTCCAGTGTGAACCCTTCTGTGTCACAAGAGGTTAGGGCTATGGCTAAAAGATTTCCCACATTCGGTGCACTCATAAGGTCTTTCTCCAGGATGAACCCTTTGGTGTTGAATGAGGTGGCTTTTGCGACTAAATAATTTCCCACATTCACTGCAGTCACAAAGCTTTACTCTAGAGTAAACTTTCCTGTGTCGAAAGAAGCCAGAGCTTTGGCTAAAAGATTTCCCACATTCACTGCACTCGTAAGGCCTTTCTCCAGTGTGAACTCTTTGGTGCTGAATGAGGACAGATTTCTGGCTAAAAGATTTCCCATAATCAGTGCATTTACAAAGCTTTCCTCCAGTGTGAACTCTCCAGTGTTGAATGCTGCTACGTGGCTTCTCACTGTTGGGGGTGGCCTGGTGTTGGAGAAGGCCTAATGTGGCTGGGAATTCCTTCTCAACCTCCCCACAGGTGAAGGGCTTCCCTGACACATGGACTCTGCAGCTCATTACAAACAAGGCCTGGTTTACATCCATTTTGAAGAGATTTTCTCCAATATAATGCTTCTGGAGCTGGTAAAGATTTGAACTGAACCAGCAGTTTCTGGGTGCCCCATCCAAGTATGGTTTCTGCCCAGGGTATGTTGTTGGGAGGTCAGCAAGGTGCAAAATGTTTCTCAGGACTGGGACACACATCTCACAGAGGGAGTCTTCTGGATGAAGGAAGCCTTTGCAGTCCTGATTTGTGACATTCCTTCAACAGAAAAGCTCTGATCAGAAGGTGACTCCTCATCTCCTGCTCCACACCAAGAACCTAAAAGAAGAGAAATGCTGATGAAATGCAGGTTGACTACTGTGGAAGAAGCAAGTCCCATCAAAAATGTATGTTAGACATAAGTATATGGGAATGTTTTCAGGATGTAGGTGCTGGTGGCAATTTGAGGAAAGGGTCTCTAAAGATCACAGAATGAAGGAGACAATACAGGAAAAAGTGCACAAACATGAGTGCACTTCAGGGAGGAAAGACAGGGTCTCTGACTCACTGCTGTGCCAAAAGCCTTCAGCAGGACTTTGCTGACAACATGGGCATGCTGCACAGAAAGTTACTGGTGTCCAGGCCAAGGAAAATCCAATGCGAACCAATTACCTGGTGTCCCACTTAAGAATATGTGCCCACCTCACAACACATTACATGTGGGTCAGTATTGCCTCATTGTAGAAGGTGCAGTGGAGAGAAACAAGTGAGCCATGAAGGCCTGAAATGTGGGGCTGAAAGTGACAGATAAAATGTCAAAAAGTGTCAAGTATGAGAAAAAAAGGTAAAAATGAAATGTGTCAAATGGCATTAGCACCCAAACACTGGGGACACAAGACAAGTTCATGGCATGATTAGAAAATAACTCTTATGTCATACCCCCTCTTCAGCTGTCACTCACTGTAGAGTATGCATAAAGCAAATGTACTTCACAGAGCCTGGTTTTCCAAAGCCTTGCAGTTTCAAATACTGACCTTACGAAAAACAGGAAATTTTCCCCAGGCTACTGAGTCTCTGTTGTAAGATAAAGAGTTCTAACACAGCAAGGCTGCTGGCTCAAAGACAGACAGGTTACTGATTGATATATAAAGATACTGGGAAATTGCTGTAAGAAGGAATGTTTGCTAAGATCAAGCTTTTGTTGGTGGACCATTTAATTGCCTTAATGGAATGCCATCTGACTTGTTTCACTGAAAGTTACCAGCCTATATTGTTAAACTATAACCCCACCTATGTTCTCTTCTTGTAACTTCCTGATTTGGAGAATAAATGTGGGAAGAGAACCCCAATTCAGGTTAATTTCCCAAATGGAATGTCTCTCTCTTGAGGGTTCCGGGAGATTAACCACTTTGGGGCTTCTCACTGCTCAGAAGAGATGGGCTGTGAGTAATCCTTTGTGGCTCTGTCACCCAGGGGAAAAGGGGTGACAAATCCATGGGGGGCAAAGCAACAACTCACCAGGGCCAGACCTCTTCTGAGAGTACATTGCTATGTCCACCCTGTGAGGCAGTGGCTATCCCCCAATTCCAGGTGTGCAACTACATTGGGACCTGCATTAAACAAGGTCTAAGAGAAATACCAGAGAGATGAGTGGCCAGCACTGGCCCAGAGCAACTCAGCACGTGACAAAGTATAGAGAAAATAATAATATTAGAATAAAATCTCAGAAAAGGGTTTCGCAAGAAAAACCTATGAACCATCTAAGTAGTAACCATTACAATGTCTGCAATTGCTGACACAGGCTGGCGTGAGGAAATGTTAGCTAGAGGAAAATGGCAGAACATGGCGCACAGAGGTTCCATGGATTTGGACAGTCATCTTATTAGGGAGAGGGTAAGGATGGATCCATTAGGCTGACTGCAAGACTCCTGATTCCCAGACCTTCTCTGCACTTCTTGAGGAAGCAGATGTTAGGGCTGTCTGGAGACTACATTGCTGAGGCAGTGCACACACTTGGCGCTGTTCCCCACAGTACATATACCAAGAAAGTGGGAAGTTATTCTGTCTGTGGAAGGAACAGGGCTGTCTCTGGGACAAGAGGAAAGACGGACACTAGCAAAGGACCCTAGGAGGAATATGAAGCCCTTACCTAGGGACTCTGTAAGTGCATAGTTCTCCAGCATCACATCACAGTACAGGAGACTCTGAGCCTCATCAAGGAGCTCCCACTCCTCCTGGGAGAAGTAAATGGCCATGTTTTCAAAGATCACAGAACCCTGCCATGATGGGGACAGTTCATTCCATGATCATTTTCTCTCACAGAACCCCAAGTTCATCCCCCTGCTCACCCATCCCCTACTCACCCATCCCCTGCTCACCCTCCTCCCCATCTCCCCACCTCATGAGAGATACAGGCACCAGTACCACTGATGCCCTTCTCTCTTCTTGGTCCTACTGGTCACTGTGTCCTCCCACAGCAACAACAGTCAGGTGAGCAAATATCTAAGCTCTGAGCCCGGTATGCCAAGAAGCATCCCCTCTTGTCAGGCAATTCTCCTGTAATCCCTGAGCTCATGGCCCCTAAGACCCAAAAAGGGTTCTGGGTTTACACTTCAGCCTTATTTCCTCAATGCCAGGATCCTTGGGCCATAAGTTCAAAATCCCACCCCACATGCACATCACTCTTTCTACTACATCTGTCACATAAATGCACTCCCACAGCCATCCCAACCTCCATCCCACACCACAGTCATGACCTGTCCTTCCTACATATTTCTCAGTGCAGTCATCCAAAAAGTGCTTGCAAATTCAAACAGGATCCAGTACCACCCAGACCTCTGATGTCCCCACTGGAAGACACAGACTTGAACCCTGATCTGAAAGCCTCTCTTCCTTCCTCTGTTCTTTCCTCCAACCTCAGCCACCCAGAACCATTTGCAAATCTTCAATACCCATGGTCCTTTCCAACTTGTATTGTACTTACCAGTGATGGCCTTCACTTCCTCCTAACCCTCATTTATATCCGAGTATGAGACCAAGTCATGGCCTGTACTTCCCTTCCTGGCCTGATATTAATATTATCATCATGACCAGCATTCCCCATAAGAAATGTGACCATTATTATAATGTGCTGAATGTTTGCTCCCCCCATCGCCTCCAAAATTCCTATGTTGAAGCCCTAACACAGTAAAGCCTAGTATAGTGTGATAGTATTTGCAGTTAGGGGTCTTCTAGTAATGATTACATTTAGATTAGGTCAAGAGAGTGGGTCACTCGTGATGGGATCAGTGCCCTTATAAGAAAAGGAAGAGAGAAATTTTCCTTTCTTCGCACACTCCCCCTCAGAAAAGGCCAGGTGCATAAACAGTAAAAAGAAAGCTGTTGCAGCCAGGATGAGAACTCTCACCAGGAACTGAAACGGCCATCACCTCGATCTTGGACTTCCCAGCCTTCAGAAGTGTGAGAAACAAATGTTTGTTGTTTAAGCCACGAGTCTATGATATTTTCTTATCAAATTGAGCTAAGACACACAGTTCCATCCTGGTCCATATGCTTTGTAGATGTCTGTATCCTGAACCCCTGCCCAGAGTCCCAGACCTGTTTCCACCTGACAAGTTGATTCCTCTACTCATTTATTCTCTGAAACATGTCGTACTCTTCAATGAACAAAACAAACTCCTGATAACCTGAATGAAAATTAATCCTACTATCTACCTCCCTATCGCAGTTGATAAACATCCCTTCCAGATGCTAAACACAAAAACCTTGCAGTCACCCTTTTCTTTCTCACCCTGAAAATCAGAAAATCAGAGCAAACCTACTAAAACAACGATGACTCAATCATTTCTACCACCTCCACAGCCATTACACTGGTCCACACCATCAATGCTCACCTGGACTACTGCAGCAGCATTATCCCAGGTAATGCTACCATCACCTTCCTCACACCCACATTATGTTTTCCATACTCAGCCACAGAGAGCCTGATGAGACCTGGGTGTCCAATCGCCTCCCTCCTCTGCTGCAAACCACGCACTGCTCCCATCTTCTCCAGAATAGACATTCACCTTCTCAGGGGGCCATTCTAGTCCAGACTCTTATCCTGTTACTCTCTGTTCTTGTGAGAAAGAAAGAAGACTTGAGGTTCTCTGAACCAGCTCAGGCTCACTTCCAGGCATCTGCAAATACTTGTAACTGTGCCTCAGAAAATTTCCATATCTCATTCCATTGTTTGCTAGTAATAGGAACCACTCCACATAACCCTCGGCCTGGACTCAGGACCCAGGGCTTAGCATCTTCAGGATCCCAGGCCCAATGCCAGGGAAAGTGGCAAATGAAGAGTCCCAAGATACCACAGTTCCAGAGATTACATGGCCAGAATCAGGACGAGTTAGTGAGATTCAGAACACTCCCTACACACCTTTGTAGGGCTTGTAAGTGCTTCTGTATGTACTAGTGGCAATCTGTGGGAGGAGGGGAGTTCTGAGAGGCAAGTGACCACAATGGGGATCCAGGGCTCCAGGCTTTCTTGTTAAACCCTGCTCGGCAATGGAGGCAGATGACCTGGCATGACTGCATTATCTCTGGGTCTCAGTCCTCGATGCTGATTTTTTACTAGCTATGTGACCTTATAAAAGGACTAAATTCCTCTGTGCCTCCTATTATTATCCCTCTTCCAGTCTGTTCCTGAGCAGTTTTTGTAAAACTTTTAAATGCGTAATTCAAGCCATATTCCTCTTCTGTTCACAACTCTTGCTCCCAGCGTTCTGAAAGAATGGCAGTGGGCAAATGATGGCGCGACTCGGCCTCACATTCTGTTCCCCGCATGAGGCAGAACCCCGAGTTTGCTGAAGGCTCCCCAGGAGGTGTACAGTCGCACCTCCAAGCCTTTGCACTTGCCGGCTCCGCTGCCTGTCACAATCTCCCCCACCCCACCACACCAGACGTCGGAAATAGAGACCGACCCACCCACGGCCGCTTCACTGTCCCGAACACAGGGGACTAAGCTGCAAAAACACTAACAGACGCTCCTCACTGGGCCTTTAAAATTCGGGTTGGGGTGAAGGCGGGTGAGACCCTGAGGACGCAGCATTTACCTGAGGCGGGTCCCTCAGCGCGGCGGTGCCATCGGACTCTGGGGCAGACCGGGATCGGCGGGCAACAGATGCGACAGCCGGGCACAACGATTTCTATCTCCGCCCTGTCTCAGGTCACTCCAGGGGACGCTGCCGAGCCTCAGGCCCGCATCCGTGAAGCAGAGATAACGACTCCTCGGTCCGGATCCACCGCCAGCGCAGGTACCTAAAACAACGCAAGAGCCCGCCACGCTGAGGATGCCGGAAGTCCCGCCCCGGCGCGGAGGGACGAACGGAAATGCTCCTTTCCTAGGTCTTCATTGGCTCAACGCCGAGGGCGCCTGGGGCAGCTTCTTCGAGTAACGTAGATCTCCTATCTCCGCAGGACGGGCAGAGGGCGGCCTTCTCCTGGACCTCCAGGAGAAAAGGCCGAGGGGCACCGCCTGAGGGGCCCTGGGAAGGGGCGTCACAACCCTCCAAAAGTGTGGGAGGGGCTTCGCTCCTTTTTCCAAGACTCGAACCCAGATTTCTGGTGAGTGTGGTCCGCAACTGATCACCTAGCTATTTAGAGACATTATTCAGGCTCCTGAAGTGCATTCTCCCAGTGGCTAACAGTATTATTTCAGGTGCTCTTCATGACTGTACTCATAAATCCAGAGGGACGTATTCCTCAGAATCATTCAGAGACAAAAATGTGTGCACTCTTACAGGGAACTTAATAAACAATATCTTCTTTCTTTTCAAATGCGTGTAACCTGGAAAGTTAGACTCAGCTTTGTGAGTATGCTTGGCCCGGGGACGAGAGGAAAAGTATCCACATAAGTCCAGGACGGAAATATTGAAGAGTTATTAGATCGCCCTAAAGCTTGAGGACAAAAGTGGAGCTCTGCCTCTGGTTCACAAAGAAAATATCTTTTCCCTCTATATTCAGTGACTGTGTCTAACCCAGTGAGGATCACTGTAAGATTTATCTACAAGATTTCTTACTGTGTATTCTTAGATGTAGTCAATTCCTTCTGGGAATCTGACAACTATGTGAAAAATAGAGCCACTTTGCAAATGTAATTTTGGAACAGGACAGTGTCTATAGTGTTTATAATTGGAACACTTATGCAAGGGGAACACCTGAAGATAAAAGTTTGGGACACCAAGATCTTATCTCTTTGAGAGAAAGTGATTATAAGTTTTATTGTTATTGCAGGAACAGTATCTGCATGGGGAGTTGAGATTATTGCAGAAAAACAGTCATGAACTGACAAGTACTGGAAAGAATTGTATTAATCAGGATTCTCCAGAGAAACAGGACCAGTCAGGTATATATAGATATTTCAGGGAAGATTTATTATGAAATTTGACTCATGTGATTATGTTTAATGAGCACTGAGTTTCAGGCACTATTGTAGGTACCTGAGATGAGTCAGGAGATAAGGAAGACAAGCCTGCTCTCATAAGTCTTAGATTATTTTAAAAAAGCAGACAGGAAACATGAAGGAAGATACACTAAATGAACAGTATATTAGAATGTAGTAGACACAATGGAAGAGAAGAGGTTAGGCCAGCCTCAGGATCCATATTCGTCTTGGTAGCCCTTGTTGGGGTGGCGATCATCTTCTAAGCCACAAGGAGTCCAGGAGGCCAAGATGAGTGCTGAATTGTCATGGCTGCATACGGGTAGGTCCCCAGTTTTCCAGGGAGGTGTGAGGTGGATGAACCATACAGGTTCTTGCCAGGGGGCAGGGCTCTCGCAGATTGTACCACTTCAACACCAGACCTTTCAGGTATGGGAGACCTATCCAAGAGGGCAAAATGAGAATATGCCCTGGGTGCAACAGGTGGAACCTGGACACTGGAAGCACATCAGAGAAAAAGTTCTGAGCCCCTCCAGAGTCTCCCACCTGGTCCTGCTGTTTTCAGACCTTCCTGTCAGAAATGGGTCTAAAGTAAGTTGTTCCCTGGCTGGCCTGTTCATGGTGAGTTCATTGGACACTTCTACAGACCTCTTGCTAAGGCCAGGACTCAGCCCATGGCTGTGGTGGTGGAGAATAAGAGGAAGCTGGAATGATGTGATCTGATGAAGAAGCCAGGAGAGGAGAATAAAAGGAGAATAAAAGAATCACAGTGACTCCATTTTTTTAATTTAACTGACTTGTTCTCTTCTAGCCCAAGAAGCTGACCATCCATTAGAATTTATACTTGACAGACAAACTCTTTTGGGGGCTTTGTTATCACCAAGAAACCCTTTGCTTAGATAAATATAGATGACATTTTTGTTTAGAGAAATCCTGGGAAAACAGGATGATTGTTAACCTGTTGTATTTTAAACAAATGGAAATTACTTACAAATTGAGTGGTCTAGAGTAGCCATAAACATTGCAAAAGCCTGAGAAACCATTATTCAATATGTCATAACAAGCTATCGATTCTGTCATCATAGAATGTTTGGAATTTGTTTACTGCTTAGACTTCCCTGAACTTGTACTATAAAACCTCCTTGCCTTTTCTGCTTGTTGGGCAGACTTATTTCTCATGCTGAGGGGTGGCCCCCAGTTTGCAAATCTAAATAAGTGTCACTTAAATTTCCTTACAGACTGAAGAGCTTGCTTCCACAGATCTCCCTTGCTATGGTGTCTCTTCCTCAAGGGTCACAACCTGAAGTCAGTGGTGTTGTGTATTTTGTCCAGGTTTATTGTCTTTTATAAGAGGAGTGTGAGTCAGACCCTGTTACACCATCACAGCCAGAACCTACAAAACATCAAGACACTGAAAGTGATTCTGAGAGTTTGAAAACCTGTTCCTTAACATAGAACTTTGTTTACAATTTGGCAAGTTATCGCTAAATGTTGGATGTCAACACTAGTGGGATAAAACATAAAAGCTCCTAACCAAACTCGTAAATTTTTATAGCAGCTGATTTATAATCATGTGGGATTTTCTAAGTGAAATTAGTATTTTGTCCACTAATTAATACTCCTTTTGAAGCTGAGCCTTTTATATTTTTGTTTATTTGTGATTTTTATGTTATCTTTGGTGATTTAGAATCCACTAAAAGGTAGTGCAGAAAGAAACTCCTGAGGGGAAAAAAAAATGAAAAGGATAGAGTATAGAGGGCTTAGAGCATTGTTAGTAAGTGCAATATTCTATATTGAGGTAGTTCTGACAGTGTTCAGATTAAAGCACTGACACAAACCGCTTTCTTTTCTACACATATATTCCTCTTTTGTTAACTTGTTAAACCAGTTTTAGATACAGAATCATAAAGAATATTTTGAGGTATTCAATTATGAATTGAGTTATACAGGATCATATCCATTCTGCAATGAGGAGTTTGTAACATGCTTTGCAAATTTGTATGCATTTAACTCATTCAATACAAAAAGGTACCTACATTTTTATCATTGTAAATATAATGTAGGTTGAGGAAAATGGAAAGATAAGCTCACCTGACAATTGAACAATTCTAAGCACAAAAATATATCAAAATATGTGAAATTTTGTTTGGGAAAATTTTAAGCCTTATAATTTATAGTGGAAACAATTTTAAGATTCTACTTTATATAGTGAAGCCACATCAAGAGGACTGTTACAGAACCAAACTTGGGTTTGTTCAAGTGCAGCTAAGGCAAGACACTGACACCAGGTTGCAGTGAGGGAAATTAGGTGTTTAATTACAAGGCCTAGAAATTGGAGCAGAGGCAGCTAATGCTGAAAACCCCAGGTCCTCAAAAGTTTACAAGCAAGGATTTTTAAAGGAAACACTTGTGAGTTAGGGTTAGGGCTGGATGAGTAGCCTGTGGATGTTTCTGGTTGGTTGAATCTCAGAAGACAAAGAGCCCTGGGACCCTGTCCATCAATCTTCTAGCTCCAATCAGTCTGGTGCCTTGTAGTCCACATTTGGTCAGCCTTTTCATCTGGTGGGGAAACTTGGGTCTCATTCCCTGTAAAAACACCTCAAGGATATATGTCAAGATAGTGTCTTTGATCCTTGGAGTATAATGGCTCCCTCCTTATTCCTTAGCCTATATCTTATGGCTTCCTTCAGGAGAGCAACCCATCATAAGATACCAAAAAAAAATAAAAATAATAATTATAATAATAATAATACAGATTGTGTGTGCATGGTGGAAATAAAAACCATTTCTAGTGAGAACGCAAAGGTTATTTATTCAGAGATTGCTACAAGGAAGTCAACCACCATCACTTGCATTTGGCAGAGACTCACATTAGGTAAGGAGGGGCATAGCTTTCTAATGGAAACAGGTAAGGTTTTAGGTGTGCCCTGACTGGCAACTATTTGCACAGGGAAGCCGGAGGCAGGTTAACAACAAGCATGGCATCCAATATCATTGATTAGAAGAGCATATTTGACTTTCTCCAGTTGGTTTGTGGGCAAAACTTAGAAAAGCTGGCAGTTATTCACCAAGTCCTACCCATTGTGGGCCAGTTGCAGCAGAGGTTGTAGGTCAGAGTTCTTTTTTATACATGATATAATAATCTGGCCATTATTCATTGGTATACTCAGTTTCTCAGTGTCTGTGTGCATAATACCCACAGCAGGCCCTGGGCATCCCTACCACGTACCTGTTACACAAATCTCTGTGCAGTATTGGTTTTTGTGTGGCCACAAGTGCTGTGGTATGTCAGCACCTGTTCTGCCTCCTCACAGGTCCCTGCTATGCTTTGCATAGGCTGGTTATGTCCCCTGTCACACTTCTTTTTGTTGTGGATATAGTATGCGCATGTGTATTATATTCAGGCTGTGTTGAGGTGTGTCAGTTTCACACACTACCACAAAGGGTTCCTGAGAAATGTGTTTGTCTCTAGGCTATGTTGCTCTAAAACTACGACACACACAAATGCACATTTCTTCTCCACTCAGGACACCTGCAAATAACAGTACCTTAAATGTTTTTGTTTCCAGGCTGGTCTGTGGTGTGTTAGTAAATCACACTGTCAAGATGTGTGCAGGTAATGCTTAAAGAATACAGGGCTTGTTTGTTTTATTGAATGGCTAGATTTAAGAAAGTGAGGGAGAGTATGTTTTTTTGTTTGTTTGTTTTGTTTTGACTGGTAAGGGGATCACAACCCTTGGCTCGGTGCCACCCACACCACGCTCAGCCAGTGAGCGCACCGGCCATCCCTATAAAGGATCCGAACCTGCGACCTCGGCACTACCAGCTGCACTCTCCCAAGTGAGCCATGGGCCGGCCCATAATGCTTAAAGTATATAATGTCTGTGGCTGTTATACTGTGAATAGACCAAAACTATGAGAAAATATTTTCCCAGCATTCAAAATTTTTCCATTTAGTGAAGAAGTGCATCATATTACTGAAGAATGAGTGAAGTTCCAGCATAAGTCTTTGTTATACAAGTCTTTCTATTCATTAGCAAAAATGGAAATTTCACCAACATTCATTTAAAAATAAGAAAGATATTAACATTTTTTGAAAAAAGATATACAAGTATTCAAGAGGCAAATGAACACATAAAAATGTTTAATATCATAAAACATCAGAATAGTACAACTGAAACCACAGAGCAATGCCATTATACACCTAATAAAACAACTAAAATTAAAAAGACTGACCAACAGCAATGTCAAGAGTTCAAATCCTCATACTGGCCAGCTGCCAGGAAAAAAAAGAGCAACCATACCAAGTATTGGCAAGAACGTGGAGCAATAGGAATGCTCACATACCAGCATACTTTGAAAAGTTCATGGAAAAAAATAGAATTAAAATATAATACGAATCATTCTAGGAACTTTTTCAAGTACCCTCATACTGTTGGCAGGAATGGAAGTGGGTACAATCAGTTTAGATCATAGTTGGCAGTTTCTCAAAAAGTGAAACATTCATATACATTGAAGTATTGGCACAGAAGAAATAAAACATATATGCATATTGAGAATTGTATGCCTATGTTCATAGTAGCTTTATTTATAAAAGCCCAAAATGGAAAACTCCCCAACTGCACATTAAGAGATGAATGGATAAACAAATAGTGAGCACATCCATGTAAACTGAACACTACTCAGCAATAAAAAGAATGAACTATTCACCTAAGCAATATTGATGAATATCAGAAAAAAAGGAAGAAAAATTTATGATTAATTCACATAAAATTCTAGAAACAATACACTCTCTTGTGAAGGAAAGTAAATCACTAACAAGCAAAAAAGAAAAGAAAGTAAATCACTGAACACTGACAGGCCCAGGGAGCACAGGGAGAGATTATAAAAGGGCATGAGGTAAACCATGGATATGTTCATGATCATGATTATGATGGTTTATTGAATTTATATGACAAGACTCTTCAAATTATACACCATTAATACATATAGATTACTGCATGTCACTTATACATTAATAAAGTTTGTAAAAATTGGTTCAAAATAAAAAATCTGATCCACTTTTTAGAAACCAAAAGGCTTGGCAATCCCATGTTGATACCGCTATATCTCTCCTCATGCCTGGGGAAGGGCAGCCCTACATCCGTGAGGGAAATATTGGCAAGCAATGAAGGTTGTTGTAATCTACAACAACAGGAACACTGGCTAGATCACAGAAACTACATCCCTGGACTACAGGATCTCTATTATCTCTATCCTCGTTTTCCTGTTACAGTGATGGACTTGAGGTGAACAACCCAAAAGACCACAAGAATCCACAAAACACTTTCTCGATGGTGTCCTCAGCTATCAGACATACACAGATCTCTAGGTCCTGTGATTGCTCACAGCCACAGTCACTAGAAAATGTGTGGATGCTCTTTCACAAGTGGTACATCCCATCTGGTTTACTGCAGGTTCCTCCACATCCAGTATTTCTGTACAAATTGTGACTCACACCTGACTCCTGACCTCTTAGGAGTGACACCAGTGTATAGGCTCTTTGTAGAACCTTGTGAAAAGAATCTTCTCAAGAGTGATGGGCAATATATGACACCCTCTGGGAACAACAGAACAAATTCATCATCCAGAAGCACAAGAGCTTACCTAAAAGATGATCTCTCCTCAGGATGAAATCTAGTGTCAGCAAAAGTATAGGCACCCAGGTCATAAATTAAAACAACACAATCCCTCACTGTTTCCTAGGAGGTCTTGGGCAGCAAGGCAAATTTGACCAAAACCAGAATGAGAACTACTCTCTGTCATTTTACTGTTCCTACAGAGAAACACAGAGTCCCCCACAAAAGCTGTCCATCCCTTCATACAAAGCCCAAGTCAGTTTTCTAGCCACCCCACACAGTAAACAAAACCCTAAGATTACAGGCAGATTTAACAATAAGGCCTTTTTTAGGGCACAAACCAGAGCAATGAGAGGTAGACAGTTACCAGTTGGTGACTTGAAGGCTGGAAAAATTAACAAGTGTCATGTGAGACTAACAATTTCCATGAAGAAGGTAAGCCTTCCACATAAACCTCCAGCAGAACCCAGTCTGGGCCCATCTGGCCAAAACTGGGTCAGATTCATACCTTAGTCAAAAAGGGATGAATTCCCTGTGAGGCTCAGATTGCTCAAGATTTCCTCTGGGAAAGGGAGAACACAAATGTATCTGCCTTGCCTCAATACACTAGGGTGACCAATGCGCACTGTGCAAGGTGGTAGAGAAAAGATGTCTAAATCAGCAGTGATTTAACTCTGGCATGGGCCCTGGAAAGTTTAGAATGTGCAGAACAGTTCCTGTAGGCCTCACACATGCCTGGAACTCATGGGGAATCTCGCAGCCTCTGGATGTTTAGAAATATGAGGTTCAACTTCAGGCAAGTGGTTCCCTCACAAAGGCTCTCTAATATTGGGGGTGGGGAGGGAAGCACATTTCCTGCAGGCCTAAGGCCTTTCTCAAGTGCACTTTCAGGAGCTAAACAAGGTTAGACCATGCACTGAAGGCTTTTCCACATTTATTGCATTAATGAGCCCTCTACATGTTATGACATTTTTGGTGGTGAATGAGGCTGGAACATTGGCTAAAGGAATTTCCACATTTGTCACACTCATAGGGCCTTTCTCCAGTGTGAACTACCTGATGTTGAATAAGGCCAGACTTCTGGCTAAAAGATTTCCCACACTGACCACACTCATAAGGCCTTGCTCCAGTATGAATTCTCCGGTGCTGAATAAGGATGGAACTTTGACTAAAGGACTTCCCACATTCACCACACTTGTAAGGCCTTTCTCCAGTGTGAACTCTCTGGTGTTTAATAAGGGTAGCTTTTTGGCTAAAGGACTTCCCACATTGGCCACACTCATAAGGCTTTGCTCCAGTGTGAATTCTCCGGTGTTGATTAAGTATGGCGCTTTGACTGAAGGAATTCCCACATTCACCACACTTGTAAGGCCTTTCTCCAGTGTGAACTCTCTGGTGTTTAACAAGGGTGGCTTTTTGGCTAAAAGATTTCCCACACTGGCCACACTCATAAGGCCTTGCTCCAGTGTGAATTTTCTGGTGATCAATGAGGCTGGAATTTTGTCTAAAGAATTTTCCACAGTCACTGCACTCATAAGGCCTTTCTCCAGTATGGATTCTTCGATGGTCATTCAGGTGGGAAGTTTGGCTAAAGAATTTTCCACATTCACTGCACTCCCAAGGCCTTTCTCCGGTGTGGACTCTATGGTGCTGAACAAGTGAGTATTTGCCACGGAAGGCTTTCCCACACTTGCTACACTCATAAAGCTTTTTTCTAGTGCAGACTCTTGGGCGGTGAACGAGAGTGTGTTTGCGGCTGGCAGCTTTCTCATCTTCACCCAACTTGAAATGAGCTTTTTTCCTATGAATGTCCTCCCCACACTCAGTGATTTTGTTGGGCTTCTCACCACTGGGAAAGACCAGCGACTGGAGAAGGCCCAACATGGCTGGGAGGTCCTTTCCAACCTCCCAACTGGGGAAGGACTTCTGTGACCCATAGAATAGGCAGCGCCTCACATATGAAGGCCTGTCAATGTCCCTCTTCAAGGGTTTCTTTGCACTGTGATGCTTCTGGTGCTGGTAAAGGTTTGCACATGCCCCAACCAAGTACTGTTTCTGCCCAGACAGATCAGCCAGATGCAAAATGTCTTTCAGGATTGGGACACACATCTCACATGGGTGACTATTCTGGGTGAATAGACCTGCCTTAAGAGTCCTCACCTGAGACACTCCTACCAAAACACTCTGCTCAGAAGGTGTCTCTTCATCCTCCATTCCATGCCCACAACCTGAAAGCAGAGAATTGCTGATGAAATGAATGTCGACTATGCTGGGAGGGGAAAGCCCCATCACACACACACACACACACACATATACACACACCCCCCCCCAAGGAATTACTCTGTATTGGTCATCTAAAAATCAGAATCGAGGCTTCACCAGATGAAGGATACAAGGATGGGATGAATAGGGAGAGGCAGTGTCTCCAACTCACTCATCTGCCAACAGCCTTAAGCTACTGTGATGTTGTGGTTATACAGTTATCCTTGAGTAGCCGCCAAATCCCTACAACTCACCAAACAGCCTTTAGTAGGACTGTGTCTGCTGTTGGCATGTGCATGCTATGCAGAAGAAGGTTGGCTGTGTCCAAGCCCAGGAAAATACAATTGAAACTGATTAGCAAGTATTCAGGTTTATGTAATGATACGTACACACTTCACGAGACAATATGTGTAAATCAATGCTGGAAAACATTGCACAGGGAGCAGTATAGAGGAACCAAATGATGCATGGAGGACAGAAAGGTGGGAGAAGCCAGGTACTACAAGTCACAGAGGAAATGACAAGTCAGAAAAGTGTCAAGTATGGAGAAAAAAAATGCAGAAATGAGGTTTGGCCAGAGGCATTTGCATCAAAACAGTGGTGGATACAGGACAAGTTCCTTTCATGATCTGAAAAGCTCCCGGATGTCATGTCTTCCCTTAGCTGCAACTCTCCAAGCTTCCTCTGAAACAATGTTCACCCTGTGAAGCACCCAGTTTTCTCCAGGCACTCTCAGCTGTGTGACTATATGGGACCTGCACGAAGCAAGTCCCATAGGAAAGACAGGGCACGTGAACAGTCAGCACTGACACAGAGCAACTCAGCACACAACAGACCACAGGAAAGAAATTATTATTATTATTTTTTAAAACCATTCCTTATTTATTTTTTTTTTGGCAGCTGGCCGGTATAGGGATCAAACCCTGGACTTTGGTGTTATTAGCACCACGTTCTAACCAACTAGCCATCTCTGTCTTTCACACACCACACACACATGCACACACCGAGGAATGACTCAATAGGTCTAACCAGCAAGCCCACCCAAAAAACCTATTCCCAACACAAAGAGGTGACGGATATTTGAGGTAATGAATATGCTAATTACCCTGATAATGATCAATGCACACTGTATAAATGTACCCAAATATTACATTGTACTCCATAAATATATACAATTATTGTGGGTCAATAAAGAAAAAATAAAAAGAAAAGACAAATTTTAGAGACAGAAACTGTCTAGAGGTTACCAGAATCTAGGGGGAAGAAATAATGAGAAGTTATTGCTTAAGGAGTACAGAGTTTATGGTTAGGATGGTGAAAGTTTTGGAAACAGACAGTGGTGTGGTCACAATTGTATGTTAAAAAGTGCTTAAAATGGCAAACTTGGTATATATATTTTACCACAATAAAAATAATAGAGAAAGTGTTTGATAAGTAGATTTTAGCGCCCAATAAAGGAGAAAAACTAAAAACCTAGAAGGGGGTTTGGTAACAACAGCCCACAGTGCCTGCAATCATGACACAGGAAGCCACAAGAAAATGTCAGCTTGGGCTGTGTGGTGCTGATAACACCAAGGCCACAGGTTTGGATCCTGTGTAGGGATGGCCGGTTGGCTCACTGGCTGAGCGTGGTGCTGACAACAAGCCAAGGGTTGAGATCCCCTTACCGGTCATCTTTTAAAAGACAAGAAAAAGAAAAGAAAAGAAAATATCAGCTAGCAGAAGGGAGGAAACTTGGGTCACAAGTAGTCATACATCTGGACACAGTCAGCCAGGGAGAAAGCAAGCAAAAGGAGACCCATTAGGCTGACTGCAGGACTCCTGCCTCCCAGATCACCTGTGGCAGCAGGTGTTAGGGCTGCTCAGGGAATGCACACAGCTCAGTGCTGGCACCCACAGCACATGTGCCAGGACAAAGGGGAATTCAGCAAAGCCCATGATCTGGCTATGGAAAGGGAGAGCTGTCTCGGGGGGAAAAGTGAATACACACAGATCAGGACACTGGGATGGGTGTAAGAACCTTACCCAGCGAGGCTATAAGTGCAAAGTTCTCCAGCATCATTTCAAAGTACAGGAGCCTCTCAGCCTCATCAAGAAGTTCCCACTCTTCCTGGGAGAAGCAAATGGCGACGTCCTCAAAAGTCACAGAACCCTGCCATAATGGGGATGGGTCACTTCACAATCAACTTCTCCCCTGAGATTTCAAGGTCATCCACCCACTCATCAAACCCCTGCTCCCCCTTTTTCCCATATTCCCACTTCAGAGGAAATACCAGGTCCCAGTACCATTGATGCCCACTTTCTTCTCATGTCCTCGATCACTGTTTCCTCCCACAAAACCAACAGGTAGGTGGGCAAGGAGACACCATCTAAACCCTTGACCTGGCATGTAGGGCCATCTCCCCTCTTGTCAGGCAATTCCCCAGAACTATAGGTGATACCTTCCAGACAAAACCAAATGTGGGTTCACCCTTCCTTCATCCTTATGTCCTCAATGCCAGTGGCCTAAGTCCTTCAGTTCACACTGCCTCTCCACATGCACATCACTCTGGACCACACTTTCACACAGTCTCACTCCCACAGCCACCTCCAGCCATCTGCCTGACAATATAGGCATCTCCCTGTCTGCCCTACATGTTACTCAGCATATGGCATCCTGAGAGTGGTTGGTAAACAAATAGAAACAGGATTTAGTACTGCTCAAGCCTCCGACAGTCCTCACTGTCATAGGCAGCCTGGAATCCCACTCTGAAAGGTTTCCGGCCTCCATTCCTTACTTTGACTTCTACTACCCAGAACCACTTGTGGATCTCAGACACCTACTGTCCTCTTCTATTTCTGATGACCTTGATATTCCCCCACCAGTCACAGCCTTCCTCTCACCTCTCAACCCTCATTTATACTCAGTGGCCTCAGTGATTCTCCACCCCAGACCCAGAGGCTTTCACAAATGAACACTTGTGTGTTAACATTATCCATCCACCTGACCGACACTACCCCAGACACACCAGGGATCAAAACAAAATCCTGGGGAGTCAGCACCATGGTGAATAGGCACTAGTCCTAGTTTAGGCTACTAAAACAAAATACCATAAACTGTGTGGCTTATCAACAACAGAAATTTATTTCTCACAAATCTGGAGTCAGGAAGTCTGAGATCAGGGTGCCAGACTGGTCAGGTTCTGGTGAGGGCCCTTTTCCTGCTTGCAGACTGCTGACTTCTTGTATCCTCACATGGCAGAAAAAGCACTAGCTAGCTATCTGGCCTCTTCTTATAAGGGCACTTGCTAATCCCATTCATAAGGGCTTCACCTTCATGACCTAACTACCTCCCAAAGTCACCACCTCCAAATACCATCACACTGAGATTAGGGTTTCAACATATGAATTTTGTGGGGACACAAACATTAAGTCCATTGCTCCTGGCCTCAGTGTCATCTACCAATTATTCTTACGTCTCCGGCCACCTGCCAGATCACCCTCTTCCCCACACCTTTTCCATGGCCACTTCTCTCTCACATCTGTATTTGTAATGCCCACCACTTCTACCCAGGTGTCCAAGCACAAGACCCAGTCATAGCCCCCACCTTTACTTTCCTGGGCTGCTAATAGCATTACCGTCATGACCTGGATTCCCCCTCCTAAATGCAATTCACAGCTATACCCTGTGAAAAACACTGGCCACCACCTTTTGGATGTCTGTATCTTGAACCCCTTCTCACAGTTTCATATCGAGTAGGCAGCTGGCCACATAGGTATCTCCACTAATTGCTTTTTGAAATACCTCAGACTCTTACAACAGCCAAAACCAAAACATCTGATATCTCTGATGATAATTAACCCTACTATGAACTTTACTATCCCTGTTAACGGAACTTCTATCCTATCACTGCTAAACCCAAAATCCTTTCTCACCCTCAAAATCTGAAAATCCAGGCAGCCCTAATTAAAAAACTGATCTTGAATCCGGCCACGTCTCCCAACTTTACAACTACCACACTGGTCCAGCCTCTGTCAACACTCACCTGAACCATGACAGTAGCCTCATCCTTGGTCGTCCTACTGCCTCCCTCATACCCACAGAGTGCTCTCCATGCTGCGGTAATAGGGAGCCTGATGGGACCAGTATTGGATACCCTCCCTCCTTTTCTCTAAACCTCCTATTGCTGTCATTACCTCCAGAATAGACATCTAATTTCTCAGAGCCATCCCAGGCCTGAAGCCCGCCCTGCTGCTTTCAGTTCCCATGAGAAAGGAGGAGGCCTGAGGTTTCCTTAACCAGCTCAGCCTCACCTCCAAGCATTTACACACTCTGTTGTCTATGCCTGGGACAACCTTTCACATCTCATTCCATTGTCTGACAGTAATAGGATCTACTCCAAATAAGCCCAAACTAGAATCATGATTCCAGGCTTGGGATTTGTTAAGTAAGGGTCCTTAGGTCCAAGGACTGGATGAGTGGCAGAAGAGATTGACGACAACACCCCAGGGTGGGGTCAGGACCAGTGAGAGCCTGGGACAAGCTTCACTCACCTGTGTGAGGTCCATATGTGCTTCTGTAGTCAGGGGAACCTGTGGGAATAAGGAAGTCATGGCAGGGCCCCAATGGCTCAGGCCTCCCTGTACCCCTATTACATTGGAACCAGGTGATCTGGGGATGCTTGCATTCTTTTCGTGTTCTTTCTCTTTTTTTGATGACTGGCCTGTGTGGGAATCCAAATCCTTGACCTTGGTGTTATAACACCACAGCTCTAACCAACTAAGCAAACCGGCCAGCCCTACTTGTATTATTTCTGGTGTTTCAGTCCTCAGCGCTAACTCTTAGCAGCTATGGAACCTTGCGCAGGGAGTCAGCTTCCCTGTGCCTCAGTGTCATCCCCTTCCAGTCCGTTCTAACTCCAAGCAGCCTTTGGAAAACTTTGAAAATCCTAACTCAGACCATGTGCCTCTTCCGTTCACAATCCTCCATGGCCCCTAGCATCCTGAGAATGAAAGTAAAACTCCTCACCTTCCCATTACACAGTAGACGCTCCCGGCTCAATCACCCCTCAAAGACTTTACACACCAGTCCCCCCTGCCTGTCACGCTGTCCCACACCCCATCGCACAGGCTGTCAGAAATAGGAACCCTACCCACGAGCACCTCACTATACAAGACACTGGGCCTGGGCTGCAGGGACGTGAGCAGGCGTCCCTCACCGGGGCTCTGGGATTCAGGTGGGGTGAAGGTTGGTGAGAGCCCGGAGGACGCAGCATTTACCTGAGCCGGCACCCACGAGCACCTCACTATACAAGACACTGGGCCTGGGCTGCAGGGACGTGAGCAGGCGTCCCTCACCGGGGCTTTGGGATTCAGGTGGGGTGAAGGTTGGTGAGAGCCCGGAGGACGCAGCATTTACCTGAGCCGGGTCCCTCAGTGCGGCTTCCGTCATAGGATTCTGTGCGTGAGGCGGGGCCCCGCCGTCACCACCGCTGCCGACCTCAGATCAGCCGCCGGTGCAGTGGGCCGACCCCTCCCGTGGCGCTCTCGTCACCTGCCACCTGACAAAGCGCTCCCAAAGCGCTGACGGCGTGGACAGACTGAACAGCTGCTAAAATGACCGCCACAGGAGCAACGCCGGAAGTCCCGCCCCGACGCTTTGGACCGAACATAGAAACTGGACTTTTCTGAGCGCTCATTGGCTCAGTCTTTGCAGCTGGGGCAGAGTGTTCTGGGTAATGTAGTTCCCATTAGTTCCACGGCGGCGGGGAAAGATGCCTGACTCACCTGGAACAAAAGCCTAGAGGCCCTGCTCCGGGCGCTGGGAAATGGCGTAGCCAACTTCCAAGAGCGGGGGAGGGGCTTGGCTTCTTCTTAAAGGGGCTGATTTCTGCAGACTCGTCTGCAACTGAGCCCCGGATTGTTTAGAGACGTTTCGCGTTCATCAAGTTCTCATACTTCCAGAAGTTAAAGATATTATTTCAGTCGTTCTCAAAGGCTGCAGATATAAACGACCACATCATTGCACAGAGTAACTCAGCCACACAGTGCGTAAGTCCTCCTTGGAAGCGAATGAGTATTATCTATTGCTCTTCACCTGCTTGTAAGGGTCAGTCTCCCGGCTTCAGCGGGTTAAGTCAGAGACGGGGGAGAAGAAACTCCAGGCCGGGTTAGGCCACGGTGTCCTCCCGCGGAGTCCAGGAGGCTGTGTAAGACCGGCCTAAAAGCACAATTCTTACTTGATGGGAAGGCTCATCTCGCAAAGACCAGGAGGCACAGAGATCGATGCAAAAGCAAGAGGTTTTTATTTCCGGCATGCTGGAGGTCGCCCCGTTTTCAGGACAGGAGCGGCCAGGAATTCACAATGCAAGCAGCTTTTATACAGTTTTTTTTTTAACAGATATTGTGATAGGATCAACTAACTGTTGGTTATCTGTGGCGCTTTTAGGTTTACAGGTGGGCTTCAGCTGGCGCCTTTTGGGTTTACAGGTGGGTTTTAGCAGGCTGGCACCCCTTTAGTGCATTTCTCAATTGTTTACCTTCCCCGGGGCCTGGCTTTGAACCAGCTATTTCCTGGAACCGATGGGGGATATTAATGTTTAGTGTGCTCGGGCCTGACCCTTGTCACGGCCCCTTATAAGCTGCGTTGCTTATGCATTGTTACAAGACTGCGTACATTAAGGTTGTATTTTTCTACAATTCTACTACTTATATTCTATGCCCCCCCTACATTACAATTTATTTCCAACAGCTGCAGGGAGGGCCACATCACCAGGTCTTGTCCTGTGCAGCTGGCCGGTCAGAGATTGTCCTGGCAGATGAGCGGAGACAGGGTAGGAGGCAGTCCCCGTCGGGGGTCCATAGGCGGTTCAACCCCCACACGGGTACCCCCTCGGCCGGAAACAGTTCCGAGGATACTCTTGAGTCCCCTCCTGGGTCTCGGAGCCGCTCCTGATGTTCTGCTCCGGGACACTCCCGCCCCTGCAAAGTCCCTCCTAAGGGGAGAACTGACTCGCGAAAGGACCGGGTCGGGGATCGCAGCCCCTAGTTGTTAGTCGTGACCCGGCGGGTTTGTTTGCGCCTTTCAGGATTGCTTGGAAAGACTTGGTCGGGACTCGGCTCGGGGACGACTCGGCCTCGGGAGGGGAGCGGGGATGGTGGCTGGCGCCCGGGTCTACGCCTACCTCTAAGGCAGGAGTGAGGTCCTTTGACCTGGGGCGGGGGGGAGGTGGAGGAGAATTTGCCACAAGAGCAGAGAGAGGCCAGGAGAGCCCTGCTGGGTGCTCCGCTTTGCCCTGCCATGGAGAGATCCTGAGGGACACAAGAACCCCCGCAAGAGTTACGGGTCCTCTGTCTGGTCCTGAGGCTCCCCGCGCTCCTCACACCTAGAAAACCCTGTATGCAGTTTGCTGCCGCGCCTCTCCGCGCGGGTGCCCCCAGGATACCGCGTGGCAAAGTCGGGATTTGGCCACTGGAATGAAAAGAGACGAAAAGGGACTCAGGCATCATGGCCCGCGCTGGGGACTCAGCCAGAGGGGAATGTCCTAAAAATCCTCCGATAAGGGGCCGACACCCTCCCGGTGTGTTCCCCGGACCTTGAGCTCAACTGTCCTGTCACCTGAGCCCCAGTCCCTACTCTACGTCAGCGGAGCTATCTCCCAGTTCCCACGCACTTGAAGCACGTGGTCTGCAGAAAAATATGACTAACCAGGTTCCCTGGAGGACTCAGGGAGCCGGGACAGCAGGGCGGGGACCACCAGGCCCACGCGGGGTGCACGGAGAACCCACGAGGCGCCAGTCCTGGGCCAGAATCCTTCTGAGCGAGGCCTTGCCAAGACCTGGGGAGGCCGACAGTGGCTCCAGAGCCCAGCGTGTCTTCCGGGAATCTGGGTGTCTGGCAAAGCAACTCAATTGCCTTGGTGAATCCATCTAATGCTAAATACTGGCAGGAGATCAGTTCGCTGTGTACGAAAGAGAAAGTTGAAAAATACTTGAAGAGACGATTCAGAGAGTGAGACAACTTTATAGGATAAAAGGGCGGGATAGCAGCTTGTGTGATCATTGCTGTCAGAAATCCTTTTTAACCCCCCACAAGCTGCTACACCACCACCCATCTGTGGTTAGAGCATGTGTAGTAGCTGATGGCTTTACCGCTAAGGTGGAAGCTTTCTGGGTTCTCCACTGACAGCCCAGGCTGTTCAGGGAGGTGTCTCCCCTCTGGTTTGTCGAAATTCTAATATTACCTGCACTGTGAGGCCCATGCAAACTGCCAGTTCTCAGCCTCACAGCTCTTCTCTGCTGACTTTGGGAAATCTCATTGCAGAGGCACAGCTCAGTTTTCTGTGAAACACCCTGATGACCCCATGATGCAGATTTCTGGGGCATCTTTATGCATATCCCCCTTTCTGTCAGGCTGATGCTTGAATTCCAGCTGCCTCTTCAGCCTTTAGCTCTGAGTACATGGAAATCCGTACAGTACAGCATGAAACCTCAGACCTATTTAAATATAGGAAGAAAATCTTATTTGAAGCAAGAGGAGCCCCTACTAGAAAGAGACTTCCATGAATTAGAGAAATTATTTAGTGATCTGAACAAGAAGGGGAGAAAATCCCAAAGTGACAGGCTCAAGTCATATTACACATTAAATCTACTTCAAATAGGATGCATTCCTTTACTGTTGGAGATTTATTTTCCTACATGGAGTTAGCTTACTGGAAGAAAGCTGGATTTCCCTGACTTCATCTGGGGAGTGGGAGAGAGACTGTGGGGAAAGAGATTTAACATGCCAGTCTGACTGGAATGGACAGTGGGGAAGAGTCCCTCAACCCCCCCTGCAAAGTAGAGAAATGCAAAAGGACTTTAAGGAGATGGTAGAGGCAAGAATTCTTTCCTTTTTTTTAAAAGAAAGATGCCCAGTAAGGGGATCTTAACCCTTGGCTTGGTGTTGTCAGCACCACGCTCAGCCAGTGAGCTAACTGGCCATCCCTATATAGGATCCGAACCCATGGCCTTGGTGTTATCAGCACCAAACTCTCCCAAGTGAGCCACGGGCCGGCCTAAGAACTCTTTCCTTTCAAGAGAGTAGGTGTCAGTCCATGTTGGTACACTGATGGGACATTATAAGAGGCAAAAATAGATGAGAAAGGGAACATCAAAAAGAGCAGGAGTAAATTAAGATGTCAACATCATTAGTCATTGGGAATATTCGAATCAAAACCATAATGAGATATCACTTCGTATCTACTAAAATGGCTATAATAATTGTTTTTAATGAAAACATATTAAGGAAGCTGTGGAAAAACTGGAACCCTCTACACTGTTGATGGGAATGTAAAATTGTGCAGCTGCTGTGAAAAATAGTTTAGCAGTTACTCAAAAAGTTTATAGAATTGGCATCTGATCCAGAAATTTATGTCCTGAGGATATACCCCAAAGAACTGGAAGCAGGTACTCAGATACTGATAAGCAAATGTTCATAGCAGCATTATTCACAATAGCCAAAAAGGTGGAAACAACCCAGGCATCCATCAACAGATGAATGGATTTAAAAACAAAAAATGCCTTATATCCATAGAAAGAAATAGTATTCAGCCATGAAAAGGAATGAAATTCTGATGTACGCCACAATGTGGATGAACTTTGAAAGGACACTAAGTGGTATAAGGCAGACGCAAAAGAATAAGTATTGTATGATTCCACTTATATGCAATATCCAGAATAGGCAAATTCATGGACACACAAAGTAGGTTAGCGATTATCAGAGGCTGCAAGGTAGGGGGAATGGAAAGTTACTGCTTAATACATACACAGTTTCTGTTTAGGGTGATAAAAAAGTGTTGGAAATAGATAGTGATGATGAATGTACAATATTGTGAATTTATATAATACAACTGAATTGTACACTTGAATATGGTTAAAATGGAAATTTTTGTGTTACATCTAACTAGCCAAAATAATATATATACAAAAAAAACCTTAATGTGAGATACTTTCATCAAATCCTAAAATCAAAGTTTCCTCTATTATACTATTTCAAAGTTACATGAACTTTTCCATTGATGAAGCTAAACAGTTGGAGTAGTCTTTGTATAAGTACGTACGTAATGTTCATGTTACATCTCTTATTGGCTTTATGATTTCTAGGACCTAACTGCCCTATTCTATAAGAATCATAAATTCCTACCAAGAAACTTAAATTATTAGTCCCCTAAATATTAACAGATGAGGGAAGAAATTGTTAAATTTCCTGTAGAGAACAGACATATGGTCATAATCAAATTAGGAAAACTGTTTTGTTTGTCTAGTAGGTAAAACAAAACTGAGAGACCTATGGATCCCTGCAAATGAGTACAGGGGCTGAATGTTGGGAAACATGAAGGAAAAAACAGAGGTGTCCGCCACCCACTGGCCTGGAATAATAAATAGATTCATCCAAATAGACAAAAGAGAAGAGAAAGAGTAAAAGAAGAAAAAGGAGCATCAAAATGGTGCAAGTGCTCTGACCTCATGGGAAAGTCTGGAAGAACAGCTGCTGCTGTAAATATAAAATAAAATAGTAAAATGATACATTCCACAATATATGAGGGGAGGCTT